GGTTTATTATATTCGTTGGAAAATGTCCTTGCAGGACAACTGCAGTAATGTTGTTTGCGAATACAAATGACATAAACACATGGGAAGTTTGAATTTTCATTTTTCATGTTTTTCTGAAAACCTTGACAATGACATTTGGTGAAAGGCAGAGCATATGAATAGTACCATTCTCACAGTTTCCTTGGAAATAATGTCAGTTTTACAAAAACTCTGAATTATTCACACCTCGTATAAAGTTAAAATTGACAGTTGGTTGATCTGACAACGTCATTCCCTTGAAATTCATTGTGGTCATAAGATTAATTTGAATAAGGGGCCAATATTTCAGTTATAGTTTTATTGAATCCAACAAAATTTGTTGTTCAATTCAGTTCTGAAGAGTGGGGAAAAAATGAGCTCTAATAATCGGAAAGACAACTGCAAAAATCAGAAGCAAGCTATCTTCTTCACTTCCAATGTATCTCCAGATTCAGTAATTGGATTAAAGGTACGGGAATCTCAGCAAATCTCTGATATACTAAATTATAGAAAGTCCGAAGCAAACAATAAATTTTCGAATGTTGAAGCGGCCTCAGAGAAAGATAGTATCAATATGACTAAATGTAGAAAAGATGGAATTAACCATATTTCAGATCACTGTATTGACAATAATGATGATCAAACTGGTAAAGCAGAAAAATATTCATTTCCACTGCTTTCGAAAACCATCATATCAAAACCGAGTTATCTGGAGAATATAATTGAGGAACAGGTTGATTCAACAAAAATTAATGAATATTCTCATATATTGAAAGAACGAAAGAGTGTGGATAATGTAAACAGTGTACCGGTTGATAATGCCAATATGACTGGAACTGAAAACAAAACAAAAATTATCGATCCTTGTGAGAACATTCTCGACGAAAATAAACCAAAATACGCTTTTTCGTTTTTCGATGATCAAAGAGTACAGGAAGAACTATTTCAGCAAAATCTTTTAGCTCAGCAGCTCCTAATGAAATACTTCAAGAAAGAAGAAGACAATGAAGAGAAAAACGATAGTGTGAAAATGAAAGATAAGACGACAAAGAAAGCTATCACTCTGCTCGAAAGCATATCGAGCATTTTACGTAGATTCCACCAAATAACAGAAAAAAATAAACGATCATCTGACGTGTATATGAGTTCCAATAACCCATTTAAAATGGAGAGTAACCTGGAGTACGCAAAACCTTTCAAGTATCAGCGAAATTATTCGGACAGTGCCATGAATGTGAACCTTAGCATACCTTTGGAAGGTTGTATAAGAAGGACACGTTTCTGTTACGAAAATGATTTTGTACGCGATTCCTTGACAGATATTCGGAACGATTCTTTCGAAAATATACAGTTTCTGAATACCAAACTCACCCACAGTGGTAATTATAATAAAATTCTGTATAAAAATGATAGTAAAAATTTGGAAAACAATTTTTCCGAAGAAGACTTTGAAGGGTGGAACTGTCCTATTCTGTCAGAACGATACTTGAGCCTCAGGAATTTGTACAGTTGCAGTTATTTAGAGAGTAACAAATCTAGATACTACTTCCAAACTTTGCCAAGAAACTCGGGAACAATGGGATTAAAATTTGACAATGGTATTGATTTCAAAGTAACGGATGAAGAATACAAACTATGGCTGAAACAAAATGGATTCGTGAAATATACAGATTATTCTATTACTACTAATAGTTTACCATCAACTAAGAATGTCTCATCCGGAGCACCGACACACTTCTCAGTATCACAAGCGTCTGCAAAATTACAGTTAGTCCCATTCCATGAAAAAAGTCGAGACAGCTTTGATAATCGAGCTTTTGAAGATATAAACTACGAAAAGTTCTATCAGTTGATAATTTACGAACATATTGTCGTTTCTAATTGTATCCTCTTTTTTTCTAATTATGTATTCGCTAAACGTTTGAAGAAGCTCACCATAACTGATAGAATTTTTCAATTGATCTTCTTAGTTATATGTTACTTTGTTATAGTTACTTTAAATGAATCAGGTGTTACAAATATTGCAGATGGTGTAAATTATAAGAGTGCTTTGAAATATAAGTAAAAAAGTCAGTTTCGATCTTGATTTCAGAATCATATAATTTTCCACAGAAAAGACCAACGTGACCAACGGCTTTACGTGAATCATTTTCATATTCAGTGTGATTCAGATCTTCATGAGCTGATCAGAAGACTTCGAAAATGTATAGTTTTCGAGATATGACGCTGAGAATATTTTGTAATTAATTAGTTCTCGCACCCAACAAGAATGGAAATTGAATGTGAATTCAGAGCAAAAACCAAAGAACCTTTTTTTTCTTTTGAGTTACTTCAAAATCACGAAATTACTATAAACTGCTCGTCACTGGCATTGTTCAATTGGACATTAATTGTTTGAAGGTGGTTGACAATGTTTCATGGTGAATTTCATCAGTTTCGACTTCCATTGTCTAATATAGTATGATATGATTTGAAATCATCAATAATCAATAGGTTGTTGAAGAGGCTCCCAGACAACTTCATCGAGAACCTCCTGAACATAATAAACAGTTCGTTGGCCCTCAGATACTTCCTCAGAAGGTGGAAGCATGTGATCGTCATCATGCTCCCGAAACAGGATCAGAACGGGATCGGATCCTTCCTGAAAGACATAACTTTTCAGGTTAGAGTAGAGGGTTCCCTCTCTGACAACAGGGAGATCCTCACTGGGGTGCCACAGGGAGCTGTGCTCTCTCCCACGTTATACTCGCTTTACACCAGCGACTTCCCGAAGTCCGAGCGTGTGAACGCCGATGACATGGCTCTCCTCTCATCTTCCATGGGGCGAGAGCTTGGGATCGTCTATATGCAACGTGCATTGGATGACCTCAAGCGCTGGTACCTCGAGTGGAAGATCCGAGTGAACCCAGAAAAAACTCAGGCGATAACCATAGTGAGTTATATCTTCTCCGGCTAGGAAAGTGAGGGTCTCTGGAAGGAAGATCGACTGGCAAGCGCGGATAAAGTACCTCGGTCTTCTAATAGACCGTAGGCTCACAAAACGACTGACTTTCGCTTTTCTCAGATCGAGTGGGCTGAAGTCGGAAACTGAGGGGTATAGAGGTTCATGACACAAGGTGCAGGGTCTGCCGTAAGGCGTCCGAGACCCTAATGCACTTGCTATCAGCATGTCCAGCATATGCGATCTTGGCCTATATGGACATATGACTGCCTTGAATGTGCTTTATTACCAGCTACGGCACTCTTGCGGTATTGGCGAGACACCAGTGTTGCTCTACGCTTCGAGGGATTTTGAATCCGTTGTGGGGAACAAGAAGTGCCGAATTTATTGGAATTATTCGTTTCCCATCTTCAGGATCATGCAGCTAATAATCTTGATGTAGTCCTTTTTGGCTTTCAGAAGAAAACGATATTTGTCGTAAAGTTTTCAGCTACTGACGAGACGAATATCTTCCGAAAAGGGGAGGAAAAACGGATAAAATATCGAGATTTTCTCTTCGAACTCCGCAGACTCTATCCAGATCACTCTGTCAAGATGGTTGTTCTGATTATTGGAATCCTCGGTGGAATGATGTCCTCTCTACTCTCGAATCTTAAAATCATACCGGCTTGCCGCACTAAGGCAGAAATCTCAGCCGGACAGATGCAAAAGGCTGTCATTCTTGGCTGACTGCACTTACTCAGGGCACATGATTCTCGGGCCCAATGATAATTCACCCCACGGTGTGGACAGTGGTCGTTGGTTGATGCTGGCGCGCCTTACCGAATGTATCGGTGCTTCGAGGGATAGGGCCTCCTAGGTTTTGTAACACTTGTATTTGTAACTAACGTTACTGCAGTTTCGCACTGAATGGAGACTTTCTAACGAACAGATTTAGAGTACTTGGTGAAGTTTTTAAAAACGAGCTGTATCACATGTAGATAGTATGAATTACTTCCATTCGAGCAATTAACATGGCCGTAATAAAAAATATTTGTTTAATGATGATCATATCACCTACATCATAGTAAATATCGAAAATAAATTTCTTTCCACCATATTATATGAACATCATCTGTGTGAATAATTCCACATGGTTTGTCAGATTTCAGCCAATTTCTTTCAGGAGAACTCATTCGACGCTATTTTTCCAACCTCTACAGAACATATAATCTTCACCTTTCATTTTTGTTCCTTCAACTGCTTCACTTTTGATTGTGTCTCTGACTGATTTTTCATTGGAATGTTCTAGCCATCCATGCAAATAATTTAGGATGACAAAAGTTGCTGAGGAACAACTCACCTGGAAGAACAACTCAGTAGCACGTGTGCTGACTGAGTTGAACTTCGCCTTTTGTTATGTCAGCAACTAGCTCTGTATTTTATTTAAATATTTGTATGTAACTACAGCTGGGAAACAATAAAGACGATTATTATTATTGTTCTCATCCATATTAGTTTTCTAGTCAGCATCCAATTTCTCAGCCATATTTGTGTGTCAACTTTAAAACGTCAAACGCAGATTTTATGAAACTATGCAGATTTTCAATTTTTCTCAGCGTGACTAGTGTTTGTAGTAATATTTGTATTCAAATCTAGCAGAATAGTAGTGAAAAATCAAAGAGAAAATCAAATTTTTAGTTTCGTTCAGACAATTAACTTCAATCTCTTTCATGCTTGAAAATAATTATAACATTCATAAATGAAATAAAAAACATCTAGATGAAATTCCAAATTCAATCATCCGAAAATTATCAGTATCACGGTCAAAAGTTGAAGTCTGTCATTGATAAGGTTATAGATTATACAATAAAAATATTTGATGATCATTATCACTATTATTCGTGCCACAAATTTTGCGGCATGGCATGATGCTGAAGAACTTTTAAACTCTTATTTGTTTAGGGCGAGAGAAATTGGTCAAATTCGCGTGATCCTCTATATATAATTGTTCATGGAATATCGTTATTCAGAAAACACCCAACTTTCATTGTCATCATGACATTCATTCCAGCAAAATGTCATCCTTTTTTCAAAATTTGTCGTGTCCTAACAAAAACTTAACGAAAATGAGAAAATGAAAAGTGAATGTAGACCACGTTTGAAATGCCAATGCTGTCGTTGTAATCCAAATTTTTTAGCAAAATTCATGCCGAATACTTGTTGCATAAAGTTTTTTGTCGTTGTTAGCAGTCTGATTGCAATCGGATACTTTTTATCCCATTACTTCGTCAACTGCGAACCCTTTGCAGATGATATTAAACTTTTTTGAAAAAGAAAACATGGAATTTATATATAACTCCGATGAAGAAGAAGAATGTGATTGCAACCCATATTTTATTTTCTGCGAATCCAGTGGTGATGACTTGTGCAAACCTTATAAAGACCGGATATTTTATAACGGAGCGAGACAATTCATTTCACCCAGTATAACCAAAGCTCTGCGCTCTTGCACTGAAGCCCTCACCATATTATCACAGCATGTGAATTCGGAGACATCTAAGTGTTGTTGCGAAAGAAGTCTGAGTGATAACACCGATTCACTCCTCAGTTATAACATCGACAATGAAACCTGTAATTGTGGAAAAACCTACAAGGATTCTTCTAGAATAGTTGAAGTAGCAGATGCTTCCTCATCATCGCCCAATCTTGATTCATCAGACCAAGATTTTTTGAGCAAGGAAGAATCTGAAGGTTTCTCTGAAGAGCCCTCCCGAGACTTCAGTAATGGATCAGAATTTTATGTAGAGAATACTGTTAATTACGAAGAAGAGGAAGAAATACAAAATGTTGAAGGTGAAGCAGAAGAACCCGTTCAGAATGGTAATCCCATCAATACCACTTATAAGAAGTCTCGACCATCAGAAATAGGTACGGGGAATTTTTTCGAAGGAAACTGTCTGAAAAAAACTAGATCAACTTCAGTAGAAATGCAAAAAATGTGTTTACCCAGCTTGCGACACGAAACATACAGTGAAGAGCCTTGTCAAAATGAAATGGATATGGGCCTTGCTAAAAATATCAATATAAATGTCAAAGTGAAGGTCCATAAAAGAAAAAAGAAATATTCCGACTCGGCAATTTCTCGCGAGAAAAAAAAGTGTAAGTGTAAACGAAAGACACACCGAGAAATCCACAAAGATTCCAAGAAATATTGCAAATGTGAGATCAGTAAACCTATTGTGATTTGTAACAAAATGCCAGAGTCTGGAATGGATTTCTTACATTTCTTCAAATATAAACATTTTGATGAAAATATCAAAGATAACTCTAAAAGAATTTGTTTGTGTGGAAAAAGTCGAAAATTCAAGATAAGTGAATCACATAGGAAAAACATTTCTTCAAATAAGAATGATAACAAGACTTCAAGAGATGAATCAAACAAACCGGAATTCGATAAGGAACATTATTTGAAAAATCATCATTCTGCCGAAACATTGCAAGATGATATGAATACCAGGGAAAAAAATAATGAGAAAATGGATATTCATTACTCAAACAATTCTGGTACCAAAACAGAACCTTTTCCTGCCAAATCTTTTTCAGTCAAGTTATCTAATGGCAAAATGAAAACGAAAAGTAACATTTATACAAAATCTAATATAGGCGATACAATCAACAGAGAACCATCAACTAATTTGAAGACACATACAAAATCTCATTTGAAGTCTTATTCGGTCAAATCTTACAAAGAAAAGCCCTTTTCCATGAGTGCAACTCATGAAAAATCAAATATAGGTGACGCAATTAGTGGCGAAGCATCAAATGATTTGAAGGCACCTACAAAATCACATTTAAGATCTTATTCTATCAAACCATATAAAGACAAGCCCCAATCCATAAGTAAAATTCGTGGAAAATCAATTATAGGTGACACAATCACTGGCGAAGCATCAAGTGATTTGAAATCACCTACAAAATCACATTTAAGATCGTATTCTACCAAATCATATAAAGAAAAGCCTCAATCATCAGGTACAATTCGTGGAAAATCAATAATAGGTGAAACAATCGGTGGCGAAGCATCAAGTGACTTAAAAACACCTACAAAATCACATTTAAGATCTTATTCTACCAAATCATATAAGGACAAGCCCCAATTCATTAGTACAATTCGTGAAAACTCAATAGTGGATGACACAATCAGTGACGAATCATCAAGTAATTTAAAGGCACCTACAAAATCACGTTTGAAGTCTTATTCTACCAAATCATATAAAGACAAGCCCCAATCCATAGCTACAATTCGTGCAAAATCAATAATAGATGAAACAGTCAGTGGTGAAGCACCAAGTAATTTGAAGACACCTACAAAATCCTTTCTGAAATCTCATTCTGTGAAATCATATAAAGAAAAACCACAGTTCATGAGTACCATTCATGCAAAATCTATCATGAATGATATAGATGAAGACTCAGAAAGTGAAGAGTCGAAAGACGATTACAACATAAACCTCCAGAGCGAAAGAAAATTTCGTGATGGTGAACAAATATCCCGGAAATTTACTAAATCATTCAAACAGTTTGAAGAACTCTCACCTCCTGGTAGCAAAATGAATCGTTCCGAAAAAATACTGAATAAAAATAGTTCAAGGTAATCGAACGCTTTGTTTTTGGATAATTTAATTTCATTATTTTTGTAGGATTGACAAACCAAGTGTCTTATCGTCGCACCGAAGTGAACTGAGAGACATATCACGTAGCAAGTCCTCAAAACCCAGTAGTGATTCTAGAAATGCAGAGGTGGAACAAAATATTTCGATTGCTGAGAATAGTGAAAATTCTGCTGATATGGTACCACTTTTCTTCACCGAAGTTCCAAAACACTATCAGTCGTCCCCATTCTCATTATTCTCTAAAGAAAAAAGGGTAAACTACCTATACCAAGGACATTCTCATATCGTTTCTTATTTCAAATGGTATTATAGAAAGGACAACCAAGTTTCTTATCTAGAGGTGAAGCCAAAGTTTCTACAGAGAATCCAATCAAATCAAGTACAAAGAAACATCTTCCACAAAGTGATTCATGAAGGCACAGACGTAGACAACGATGCTGAAATTAATGGAAAATCTAATGCAGTTCAATGCCTCAAACCGAATTTCAACTACCAACAAGTATACGACTTGAGGGAAATATTTGAGAAATTCGAAGTGTACAAACAGCAACAATTCGTTTCGGAGTACGCAAAAATGAAACAAAGTTTTAATCTGAGAGTCAATAAAATAGAAAAGCTAGACAAAAGGAGAAGGAGATTCAAATTGGGAGATGAAAATATTAGAATTCTCGAAGTATTTGTCGTTCATTGTATTTTACTGATATATTTTGTGATATTCGTATGGTTTACATTTTTTGAATAAATTCTACACATTTCAATAACTTTTTATAAATCCATACCAGAGATTATTTTCTGTATGCAAAGTATTTCTTTTGCCAGTTTTTCGAAAGCACTAGGAAATGTTTGGGTTATCAGATTCTGCTACTAATAGAATGTAGGGAATTTTTTTATTTCAAGTCAAAACTGCCAAAATAATCAGTTTTAAGTAAATTTTCAGAACAATCCATAGTGCGATAAAATAACATATCATATACAGGACGTCAGTTTGAGAATCTCTCACCCTCAATATTTTTTATATGTTATCATGATGACAGATAGTTTCAGCACTAGAAGTTCAACTCACGAAGGGTGAAAGTTACCATCAGAATCTCAAATAGAAAAGGAGAACAAACAGAAATTGCATCAACTCCTTAAAATTATGAAAGTAATCAGATCTTGCCAGCAATATAGGTTTTCAGGTTATTGATGAAATGAATATTTTTGCATTGAATCTTTTGAGTGAGCGTGGTAAAAAATGTATGTGTTTTTGTGGTAGTGATTAGATTTTTCAAAAGTGATAATTCATTTTATCGAATCTTTGACAGTTCCGTTGTTTTCAACATAAGTTATGAGTTCCATATAAAATAATGTTCCAGTGAAAATTTGAACCGGCTTCAATTTTATCACAAATAATGACAGCAAACAAGCTGAATCATAATCAATCGAAATTGAATACAAGATAAAATCGAAAAATTGCTTTCAATATCTCATTGAATATCTAGATACGAAATAATATGATATTGAAGTTTGAATTGGAGGGGTTATATTTTTAGGAGTGATTAATTTTTGGGAAAGAAAGTTTTTGGCTTTCTACTATTCCATCTTGATACAAAAAAAATATATGAGGGAATCTTCCAAAGAAAGGAAGGAAGTAATCGGCGAAACATCGATGTATACCAGCGAGGATGACAGTGTTCAATGTAAGTGCAATTTGTTAGCATTCATTCAAAGTAGAACTGATATGAATGATATCTGATTTTTATTCCACAACGAATGTTTGAAATACAAACTGAGTAGAGAAAAGTATCTTCTGTATAATTGAGTGTTCATGTAGAAGTATTTGTTTCGAAAGAATTTTTTTCTTTCGTGTTATTCAATGTTTATATGAGAGTAGCTGTTTCAGGAGGACTTTCTTTCAGTTTGTGTCTGAAAGTTACTTTTTTGCATGATCTACACATTCATGTATAGAGTTACTAATTTTCAAATTGATTACTTCCTTCCTTTCTTTGGAAGATACCCTCATCTTTATTTTGTATCAAGATGGAGTAGTAGAAAGCCAAAAACTTTCTTTCCCGATATTGAAGTCTTTGAACTCTGAGATTGGAAATTTGGAGTTTCAATTAATTCTGATGACAGCTAATGAGCTAGAAACACGTGTCTGCGATTTGCATATTCTTTGAGTGTTTCGTCTATACATTTTTCCTGCTTTTATTTATATCAAATCCACTCGCTGAATCATCATCTTTATCAAAAACTGGACCCTGATGTCACGTAGGTAGATAACGCTGCATCGTAGTGACTTTAATGATATCTCTAACCCGAGATAATTTTACTGAAACCACAAAGTGCGGCTGGCTTCTGTTGATGATTTATGTTATATTTTATGTTATTTCTGCAACCAAGTGTTGCCTAAACTTGCACTTGTACGATGACAGCTAATGAGTGAATGAATTTGAGTGCTTCGTCCATGAATTTTCCTCGCTTTTGATTATGTCAAATTCATTCACCAAATCATCTTCTATATCGAATACTGAACCAGTTCGACTGGTTTCTGTTGCTGACTGTGCATTTGTGTTGTTTCTGCAGCCAAGTGTTGCTTAACCTTGCACGTGGCTATACCCTACTGAAGTATTACTATCAGTATTATCATTAAAATATCAGGCACATTGTCGACTGACGCTTTTAACAAGAAACCCTTAAAATATGAGGAATTTTTGTTTTGGAGTGAAAGAAAATGCCGAAGATGAAGTAGAAGAGTATTTCAATTCCTGTCAGCTTGGAAATACTGGATCTGTGAATTATATTTGTTATATCGCCACAGAAAGGAGACATTTTTATTGACGTTTGGTATTATCATGACACCAAACTCCTAGTGTTATTAAAGTTGAGACCATGAAAGAATGCACATGCATCATCAACGGAAAACACGATGAAACACATACTCTTATATAGCATCCCTCTTTCTTTCACAAGTGGAAGAGAGAGACAGAACAGAGAGGCTTTATCGTACATCGAAAAGAGATGCCCATCGAAAAGAGATAGCTAAACGGATGTGATCGTCGGTAATTTCTTTGACAGTATATATTTTTCACATATTGTTCATTTAAAAGTCCAGTTTTAATTTTTTTTATGAAGTATCAATAGTTGTTTTCACAACTTATTTACTGTAGGCACTTCATATTTCTCAGTAAGTTACTTTTCTTTCGCAATAATGAATGTCAACCTAGAATCTATTTTCAGATATCGACGTTGAAAAATCGAAAATAAAATTTAAATTTAAAGGGTATACTTTTAGGAGAGATACATTTTTGGGAAAGAGAGATAAATTTTTAGTAAAAAAAGTAAAATATTTGTTACATAGTTAATGAAATGATGAGGAATTCTATGAAACCAACCCAAAATCATAACATGAAGTATTCCTCTTTAAAGGAATTAATGTTTTCGGAGCAGCAACCAAATTGTTTCGTTTTCAATAGTTTGTGCCAGTGTGTCTTAACTGACACAGGTATAGTTCAAGTAAACGAACATTCTCGAACTATCAATCCAACCTTTCGTAACTGTGTCGTAAGTGTCATACCCAGTTTCGTCCAAATAGAAAATTTGCCGTTGTTCTTGTCTATATTTAGTTATTTGTTCTAAATATTTGTTACACAATTCCATTACTTTTCTGCTTTCCATAACTGCTTGACGTTTATTTATTATTTTAAATCTAAATCCTAGTTTCTTTATCCAATTCTGAAGAGTTTTCTCACAGCAGCTCACGTTATAGCCAGACGTATTCAATTTCTTCCTTATGATTTCAGTTGTAGGAATTTCATTGCTTTTGTAACAGTGGTATATTGTTTTTTTTTCAATGATTTCATTAGTGAATTAGATGAACATCTAAAGGTTTTGGTAATCCTGTATCACATCGCGTCTTGCGTTCATAAGGTTTGTTTTTGACTATTTCACGTACAGTTGAGAAAGGAATTTCGGTCAAATCTGATTTTGCTTGTAATAGTTCGTTTTCCTCGAAACCAAACTTATACATTGAAACATACTCTGTGTGTGTTTCAATATTCAAATGCATCCGAATCTTATTCACTGGTATCTCTTTTTCGCATTGTTCACCATCGCTATTGGAATCACTGCACAGGAAAAAGTATGCGTTGTTATCACACTCGTTAGTACTTGTCCAAGGACGCCACATTTTGAACAGATAACGAAAATTTCATGTAATTATTACTGCACCAATATCGAATTTCAACACTCAAATCGCGATCAGTTTGGCAGCCGCTTTATATCTCTGTACTGATGTTTTTAGCCTTTGAGATCGCTGACATCTTCAACTATGCTCAATACCGGTTACTTCGACTATGCAGACTTCCTATTTCATTAGATTAATGAACTTCATTCGTTACTTTTTCTGGTATGCAATATACGACTTCATAAGTCTGGCATTTATAGCATGAGAATATTTCGATTTTTGGAAAAAAATTATATGGGATTTTACAGTAGTCCTGAGATCCTGGCTCACCTTATAGGTCAGCCAGCGGTGGTCTGACAGAGATATGGTCCGAGACTTGCCAGTCTTGGATTTTGTTTGATATTTTGGCTATCGTGAGCGTGATATATATTAATGTTTGACTACGGGCATTAATAAATGTTGGCTCCGTGCCTCTGTTCAAGATTGTTAGATCTTTCTGTATTATATATTCCTATAGTGCCTTACCTCGGGCGTTGATATCCTTGCTGCCCCAGCTCACGTGGTGAGAGTTTGAGTCGCAACCCAATATGAGCTCCACTCTCTGGTTGAGGCAGTGGTCCACTAGTACCTTCATTTATCTGGTCGGTGGTAGGATGGCTGCATCTGAAGGGAGGTACACCGATGCGATTATCAACGCCATATATTTGCCTTTCCCAACTGGACATTCAACTTTGACCGCAGTGAGATCTGAGGTGCTGAATTGTGCCATCGGAAACGCTCTGTATTTCCTAGGAACGTAGACAGCCGTCCTAGGTTGCTGGTTGCTTGGTAAGCTGAAAATTTGACCAGTTAAGCTACTGAAACCAGTAATTTTGGTCTTTATTATCCAGGGCTCCTGGATCAAAGCTATTGCCTCCTCCAATACATCAAGGTGGCGACATAGTGTTGCCGTTGCCGCCTTTTTGTGTTGGAGGTTTCATTGTATTATTTTTACTTTTTTTCCTTGCCCATGAGACAGTTGTTGGATTCAAAGTTACCTTTAGAGGTCCATCTGCTCCCCCGCTAAGGGATAGGTGGCCTCGCTGTTTTTGGGTGCCTCCTCCGTCAGGTCATCGACTGACATCTGTTCAGATGCTTCGACTTCCTTTTCGGGACCCATGGTGGCCTTGGGGTCAATATCCACTTTAAGTGGTTCGACTTCCAAGGACCTAGGGTCTTCAGAGGTACCCTCTGTTTCTTTTTTTGTCCCCCTAATAGTCAGTGAGGTAAACGCGTAACTTAACCTCATCGACTTCTTCTTTAGAACAGCCATATCATCGTCTCCGATCCCGAAGACGAAGAGGTGTCCTTGTGGGTTCATCTTAACCTCATGATGGAAAGTGCACCATCTTGCTACCTTCAGGTCAGGGTTCTGCGCCTTCAGCCGACCCAGCACCTTCTCCTTTTCACCGGATGTCGTCTTGTGGACGTCCTCCGGGATCCAGAGTGAGGCTTTGGTAAGCTTTGGGAGCTTATCCACACTGACGAACGCAAGTGATGCCTCCTCCCATGGCCTAATATTCATTGTGGCTTTCTTCAGTCACTCTAGCGTCA